ACTTCTGGCTGCACATAGGGTCAACCCTCCGTGGTGGTCAAGCCCATAGTGAGAGGTGCCTGTGCCATGTCCTGGCAAGGAGCTGAGCTTTTATCTGGCTACAATGTTTGGGCACTCAGCTCCCCTAGCTCTGGGGTGTCAGGGACCTGAGATGGAGCACCAGGGCTCCTGGCTGAGCTCAAGACAGGCAGCAACTTGGAGGAGGAGCCTACAGACAAGGGTCTTCCTTTAAGCCCTCACTCTGGCCCTCACACAGTCCCTGGGGCCAGACCAGAGAGCAGGAGGTGTGTCCAGGAGCCTGAGGCACTTCTGCTCAACCGGGCTCTCTCCAGGCCTACCAGTCCCTGCTAGGGATGGCCCTGAAGCCCCTCTGCTCCCCTGTGAGAGTGAAGAGCCCCTTGGCCACCCAAGGCCTCTGCTCCTGCTGTGCTTCCCCCTACTCCACCCAGAATTCTCCTTTCTGGAACATTCTCCAAGTTCGTGACTGCCTGATTGCAAATTCTCTTGGCCCTCCAGTCCCCTAGGCATTGTCCAAATTCTCATACAGACCCCTGGGAGTACTTTGCTGTTCCCAAATTCCCCACCCCCCAGGGCCATGCTTTCTTCCACCTGCCCTCAGGCCAGGCCTCCTCCCCTGCCCGCCAGAGCCCTGGACTGGACCAGCTGGCCTCCTCTCCAGATGCCAATGTAGATGGTGGATTCGGATCATGGAGGAAGCTGCCCACCTACCTGGGTATGCTCCTGCTAGTCCTGCTGCAGCTGTCCCGGGGGGGCTGTGAGGAGAAGAGGAGGCCCTTGGATGCCGTGTGAAAGCCCAAACAGGGCCAGTGGCTCCAAGGCCAATACCCAGCCCTAGGACAGCAGAGGCTACCACATGTGTGACTGCTGTCCTCAGAGGCTCCCACCTCTCACTGCCTTTGAGGGTGGCAGCATGCTCATACCTTCCTAGCCAAGGCTGCACTGCCCAGACCCAGAGAAGGTTCCCTAGCAGCCTCGTTGTAGCCCTCTCCCCGCTCAGCTCCACACTGCACCAGGTGGACCCCTGCACTGATGAGCTTGCTGTAGACGGGGATGGAACCCTCCACCCTAATGTGTAGCTTTTATAAAGAGGAGGAAGATTCTGGAGGACAAGAAGGACCTTGAGCCATTCAGCAAACAGCTGATGCACAGAATCTATCCATAAAACTCAGGAGTGGTGTTTAGCTTCCAGGGAGAAGTCACTTAGAGGAGGTTCTGTCGGGGCAGGGCGGTGGGGGCCCTGTGTCACCTGGGAGCCAGTGAGATGGGAGGGACCAGTAGTCCTGCCCTGGGGCCTCCCTATCAAGAGGTGGTTCTGAGGCTGCGGTCAACAGCCTCATTCTGGCCCCCCAAGTGGAGTGCACGTCCTGCCTTGGCCCAGTCCTTGGGGGCGGGACCTCTTTAGTGCCCCTGCCCTAGGGTTGGGGCCTGGGTTGGCATGGACACCACCCAGACCCCTGTGGCCATGAGATGCATAGCCTGGGTTATGTGCAGCTGGGCCTTGTCCTGAACCGCCCACCAGATGGACCTGGAGCTGTTCCGTGGCCTACCCTGCCACATGGCTAGCGACTTCCTGTCATCAGTAGCCTGAGGTGGCCAACAGCCAGCACAGAGCTGAGAGCAGAGCACAAGTTACCCTGACAAACTTAAATGCCACAGGTGTCTGGTGTGGGATAAAGACAAAAGACTTTAAAACTACTCCATTTTGAGGGGAGGAATGGGCCAGTTTTGGCCCAGGAGTCATGTTAAAGATTCTACAGTGTGTTGGGGGGAAGATAAATAATTTAGCGCTAAGAATAACCAGAGTCTGTCAGGCTGCCAGCCTGCAGGGATGTAAATGGGATTACAAGAATCCGGAGAGTTTTTAAAGAACCCCTAGGGCTTTGAGCAAATAGAGGCAGAGCCAGGAAGGCGCTTAGAGCCTCAGCTTGCTGCTGGGCCGGGCACTGGGTGTGGACAGCACAGACCAGGGCACTGGGCCCATGTACGGGCACCAGCAATGACGGAAAGGGGTCAGGCCCAACTGTATGCCGGGCTTGGGCCTCACTGTGAGAGCTGCACACAAACGCTGGCCCTTCCTGCTTATACCAGGCACAGCTGGGCACAGGGCCACAAGCCCCTCACTCATTTTCCTCACCCTGGCCATGAGGACTACCCAGTGTGCTCCATGCCTGGCCCTAAAGCCTTGCTGCCATCCAGACAGCAGCAAATGGGCCCTGCTCTCCACCCATCCTGGGCGCCCTCCACAGCCCTGTCCTGTTCCCACTGGCCTTTGGGGCCTGGCCCTGTGTCGCCTCGGATCTTGTGTTGGGGCCTGGGTGAGGGCACAGGCAGCTTGGACCTCATGATGGACAACGCTGAGAGTGAGGCTCAGCTGGGGTGAGGCTAGCTGGCCTCCTGCTGTCTTGTCCCAGGTTTTCCCCAGTCTGTGAAGTGGAAACCCTCCTCAGCCCTATCCCAAGCCATGAGGTCGAGGGGACCCTGTCTTGTGGCCTGACAAGGGTCTGCACTCCTGAAGAAGAGAGCCTGCTGGAGCGATCAGAGTCCAGGCTGGAGCCAGAGTGTCTGGACAGATCCTGGTCATTTGGGGAGCAGAAGCAGCCACCACAGGCTGCCAGGGCTCATGAGCAGCCTCAAGGATGGATAGATGAGCTGGGAGCTGCTGAGGTACTAGCAATCAAGAAGTAATAGGGAAAACTGTCTTGGTTAGAGGATGCAGCTTTTGGAGAAGTGGGTTGGCCCCTCTGACCTATTTGCGGATGGCAGGTCACGGATCCCACATAGAAGTTCCCAAACCAGAAAGTTCAGCTGACCTGGAGCCCACTGCTATTGACCTGGCCACGCTGGAAGTGCTGCCCCTCCCTGGTAGCTCGAAAATCAATACTCTGGGTAGAGAAACAGACACGAGTGGACATGGGCCTAGCCTCCAGGTGTGTCTCTGCCCCAAACGGGGAGGCCTCTTGTCCCTTGGGCTGGGCTGGGAGACTAGAGTCTTCTTGCCAATGAGGCCCTCTCTGCACCTGGGAGCTGGAAATGGTTTGGTGACTTTTCCAGCTCACAGAATGTCAAGGTCCGGAGTCTGGCCCCGGCCGAGGATCACCTAGGTCTCCCATTGGCTTCGGGCCCTGGGAGGCCCAGGGGTGCTCTGTTTGGGGTGCTTGTTGGCTGTGCAGGGGGCTCTCGTGGGTGGAGGGCACAGAAGGGTTAACGGTGCCCCTGCCCCCACCCCTGCTGTGGGGTTATTACTCCAGGGCTGGATTAGCGGCCCAGCTGTCCCCACCCTGGCCTTCACACCTGCTAGGGTTTATTACTCCCGCTTAGACAAGACAGGGCTCATTTTTCAATCTTTAAATGTTTCTAAAGAAGTAAAGAGCTCTTGTCAGCCCCTTCTCATGTTCTCCTGTGCTCCCACCCAGAGGAGCCAGGTCCTGGCAGCGCCCAGGACAAGCTTGGGAGCAGGACCCACTGGCCTGGGACCCCTTGGCCATTCTATTCCACTCTATCTCATCATCCCCTCCAGCTGCCCCCATGCCTGCTGCCCCCCACTGCCTTGTTGTCCTGAGAGCTCTTCTTCCTGGGGAGCCTGGCCCAAGGCCACCCCAGACAAACCCAGTCCTCCTGTGAGCTAGGCTGGCCAAGGTCGCCCATGAGGCCAGAGCCTGGCTGGAGATGGGGGTCCCTGATACCCTTTCCTGGTGGTGGGAGAGGCCAGGTTGAGAGGCCCCTGGCCACAGGCCCACACGGGATGCAGTGTAGAGCAGAGGGTACTGTGTGTGTGGAGCCCGGGGAGGGAGGCCCTCGGGAGCTGGGCAGGGCCAGGCTAGGGCCCGTAGCTATGGTGTTGCCACCATGCTGGTCTCTGGTCTGTTCTATAGTTGATTCCAAAGCAGCTGCCCTGTAGACCCTGCTGGGCTGGGCCTTGGGCAGAGCACAGAGAGGAGGGAGGTGCCCTGAGAGAGCCCAGCAGACATGGCATGTGCAGGCTTTGTGGTGGGCTGGAGTGGTTCTGCTAACTGTGTTTGTGGGTTCCTCACAGGAGACCAGTAGCCCATCATGTCCAAAGGGGAGTTTAGGGGCCCTCGGCACTGGCTAGCCAAGGTGATATCCACTTAGCTGAACAAGGAGCCTGAGGCTGCCCCGCTATGCTAGGCTGGCCCCCTACGGCCCAGCTGAACCTCCACCTTGGGTCCTGTGCTCCTGGCTGTGTGTCGCAGTCTGCTGAGCCAGGCCTGGTGCATCGGCTGCAGGTCCTTCCCGAGCCCTGTCCTCCTCCAGACCTGCTGCCCTGGAGGGCCCTGTGTTTACTGGGTTCCTGCCCCAAGTGTCTTGGGGCTGGAGGTACCACAGCTCAAGGCTGTTCCCCTAACTTGCCTCCTAGTGCAGACCAGGGAGGGGCTGGCTGGTCATCCATGTGGCCAGCCCCGGGCAGTGGAGGAGCCCAGGATGCTGGCGCCTCCCTGCTGGTGCCGCTGCTGTGGGTAGCCTTACAAGGGGACGGGAGGCCCAGGCTGGATGCAGCTCCATGACTGGTGGGCTCCCAGGCATCAACTATCTTTTCAAGTTAAAAAAAAAAAAATTAATTGACTCCATCTGTGTTGGCCTAATGACTGATTAAATGACTAATCACGGAAGTCTTAATTAAACCCATTTTTCTCTAAGTCGAGGAGGGGGTGGGGCTCCACGCAGGCTGGTCCTTGCTGAGGCTCCGATGAGCAATTACAACAAGGTCATAGCTGCAAACATCCCACATACGTCCCCAGCTGATCAGACCACATCTTTGGCTGAGGGGTTTCAGGCCGCACAAAGCGCATAGTTAGGGTTTAGGACTTCTGGGGAAAGTGAGAGCAGAGCTCGCTCTCGTCTATGGAATTCTCACGTGTGGCTGGACAAGTGCGCACTGGACAAGTGCGCGGCCACATTTATTAAACCAAGTTCTTCATTTGCAGCTGACATAATTTCACATTGTTCAGGAGCGGACAGAGCTCTTTGTCATGTTGTGGAATTCTGTAATGTGCCTGGAATGTCTCTGCAGGAACGAAGGAGAGGCCCTCTAAGAAACAAGGCTCCTCCCAGGGGGACAGGTGGAGGCTGCAGGGCCTGCAGGTCTTGGCTGAGCCCTCTGCCTACTGCAGGGACCGTGCCCTATCCATGCCATCTGCTCCTCCAGCAAGCCAAGGTCCAGCATGGAGAGGACACGAGACCTGTGTCTCAGGCACCGACATGGGGATCAGGCTCTGAGGATGGTGCAGAATCCCTTTCCTGACCCCAGGACCCACTCTGGACCCTGGCTAGTACCTCTCTTGTCATCGGCCAATGGTGACACAAGTTAGGATACCGTGGCCTTCTACTGGACCCTACCTAATGTGGCTGGAGCTGCTAGTGGTGCTGCTTCTGCTGGCCCCTGACCTCACTGTAGCAGGCAGGGTGGCTGAGTCTCCTGGCAGGCTGGAGTCCAGCCCTTAGCACTTGGCCATCATGAGGAGTGACATGGGGTATGGTGGCCAGTCTAGCAGGACTTGGTTTGCCCTAGCTGCACTACTAGGAGACAGACCCTGTGGACTCTGTGCCCACCAGGCTGGAGAAGCCAGAGGGAGGCAAGAGGTGCCGGGCAGACACTGCAACAGATGCTGGGGACCTCGGGCAGGGTCCCTAACACTCTTTTCTGGTGGAAGTCATATAAATACCCAGATGGCTTAGGGGGAGTACTGGGGAGGAGGATAGAGCTGAGGAGGCCCTGGAAAAAGATTTGAGGTTGACACTCTTCAGCAGCAGCTAACCACATCAGGACAGTGGGGAGGAGCAGCCTGCAGGGGGGAGAGGCTGTCCTGGCCACAAGGATCCAGGAGGGATAGAGGCTGGACCAGGTAAGGGTTTGGTGTGGATGCTGAGATGCATCTCTTTAACCTGGGAGGGGCTTCCTCCCCAGCTGGGGTCACAATTAAAAAAAATCTCTCTCTAGGGTTTCTATATCCAGAAATCAGAGGTCCAGCCACAGAGACCCAAAGAAGGCTTGTGGCCTCAGGACTAAGGCACCCACAGCCCTGAAAAGCTCAGAACTGGGAGGCACTGGTACCAGCGAGATATGCAGGAAGGATGCGGGCGCTGGCCCCACGTGTGCACTCACAGCAGGTCATTATTTCATGCCCACAGACTGAGGCTGCTGCCACAGCTCCCTGGGATTAAAATAATCCCAGTCCGTGGATGTAAATTTTGAGGGCTACAAAACCTGTTCGCCAGGCCGAGAGGATGAGTGGGTGGGTGGCAGTAGCAGCTTCTTCCTGCAGGTGGGAGACAGTCCGCACAATCTGGGTGTGGAGCAGCCACAGCTGCCCTGACCAGTGCTGTCCCTGGGGCAGCTTGGCTGGGGGGGGCCAGGGATCTTGCAGGGTCTCGTATGCTCTTTGTCTATTGCCTGAAGTTACTGTGCAAGGCGAGCTCTAGGCTGAATTCACAAACCATGACTCAGAGCAGCACAGAGGGTGGCACCTTCCGCTAGAAACGCTCATCCCCAGTGCAGCCTCGGGAGTGGATCAAAGGCTTGTCAGCCTGCCAAGTCTGCCCCAGCCCGCGTTCCCGCTTGTCCCACGCTCACTTGCGTCACAGATGAGCAATCTAATTGCAGGGAGCGTCGCGGGCGGCACAGCCTGGGCGGGGGCTGCAGGCCCTTCTGCCACAGCCACTTAGCCCCTTCCCTTTCCAGGCTCACCACGTGTCTGTGCTGTGGCCCGCTCCCTGGCACGGCTGTTTTGACACCTGCCCTGGAGTGGGCAGCATGAGGGCAATGTCCCCTGCACCCTGGCCTTGGCTCCTACTTGCTAGAGGGGGCAGAGGCTGAAGAGGCCTCTGATACCTGGTACTGGGAGCACCACTGCTGCCCCACCGGACACTGTCCTCTGCCCATCTAAGGGGCCCTGCTCTTGGCCACCCGGCCCACGGCCTGTCTCAGGAGGGCTCCTGTCCCTCAGGTCTGTGCCCCACATCACTGCATGTTCTGCTCCCATCAGTCCCGAGCCTCAGTGCACCCTAAAGGAGATGGCGTGGTGCTCCTGGCAGGGAAGCAGGTGCCAGGCACTCCCTCCAAGGCCTGTGGGGCTAGTGGGTGGAGGCCACAGAGCCAGTGGCATCAGTCCTGCCTGAGTCGTCTGCAGCCAGGCAGGGCCCCAAACTGGGAAGGAGTATGTCCCAAGGAACATGGCCAGGGCATCTCTGCACCTCCCAGAGTGCACTGGGCAGCCCTCTCTGATTTAGGGGAACCAGTGCTAAACCCCAAGTCCCAGTGCCTCACGACGCCGCCAGGTGCCTGCCTGTGAGCCCTTCCCACCCTATAGTTCCCACCTGCCAGCCAGGCTCCACTTGAGATTCTGAGGAATGGGATTCTCAGTGACTGGGCTGCAGGAAGCAAGACACTGCTCTGCCAGCCTTGGGCCGTGTGGGTGTCTCAAAGGGTGGCTGTCAGCCAAGGGCAACACAGGTGGGGGCCACACACCATCCCGAAGCTTGGACCCTTGCAGGGCCCCCCAGCTCCTTTGGCGCCTCCCACCTTGAGTGAGTGGGGTTGGCCTCTCCCACCTGTTGCTTCCTGGTAACTCCTGTCCGGAGGGCGTCGTCACTCCAGGGTACAGGCTGCCTCTGGACCTGCTCCTTGCCTTCTAGAAGAATTGAGCAGGGGAGGGGAGAGGGCAGAGGCTCAGAAAGGGGCCACCCTGGACCATGCCTCAGCACTAGGTGGACTGTCACGGGTGCCAGGGCAGTTAGGTGGGCAGGACACCCAAGCTGTGGTGCTTACCTGGTGGAGGCTGTCTAGGGACAGGAATGGACGGAACCTGGGTGGTGGAGGCCCCAGGAAGATGTCCGGAAATTTGGCACAGCCTTGCTTCACATGCTGAAGGGCTCCAGGATAGCGGGGCTCACATCCCCCAGCTGAAGAGAAAGGAAGGGGCCTGGCAGCACCTGAAGCAAAGGCAGAAAGAGCCTTTCACAAGACTGAGGCCTCCTGGGCACAGAGGCTGTGTGGCCCCAGGTCTCCCCCTGTCTGGGTTGGTTGGGGGTGGGGCTGGCCGAGGATGGCTGAGTATACAGGGGCATGTACTTAGGGGGCCCAGCCCCCCAATGCCCTAGGGCTGGGAGGGTCTTCCCTGGGCTCGGTAGGTGCAGGCAGTAGAGTGCTGCAGGCCTGGGAGGCCCTGAGGTCCTGGCACCTGAGGACAGCGAGGGCTGTGTTGAGCTGGTACCTACGCAGTGCCCCTGAGGCCCAGCCCACCCTGCTGCCTCCCTTCTCTCTCAAGGCTCCGTGCGGGGTGGAGGTCAGAGGCTTCCCTCCATAGATAGAGCTGCAGCCCTCAATGCACGCCTTCACCTCTTTGGGGACCCTGGAAGGTGGTCCCTTCAAGCCTAGGCTGGTGTAGGATCCTCCCTCCCGATCATACACGTGCTTCAGAGTCCACTGTCTCTAGGTGGACTGGGGCTTTCCTGCCCACCTGCTGCTGAGGAGCCCACTACCTGGTAAACATGTAGGGAGGAGGCATGGGCAGGAGCTGAGGGGACCTGGCCAGGTCCAGAGGGGGCCTCTTGAGGGGAGGCCTGGGTCAGGGTGGGGTCTCCACAAGGCAGCAGCTCCATCAGAAACACAAGAGATCGACTCGGCGCCTATAGCTCAACCGGCTAAGGCGCCAGCCACGTACACCTAAGGTGGCGGGTTCGAATCCCCAGCCCGGACC